TATATAATTTTTTTAAATCCAAACTATCTTGTTAGGTGTGAAATGCTTAATAGATTGTTTCTTTATCACCAAATAATTAATAGGGTCAATAAAAACAACAGCTTTCACGCAGTCGAAGGCCACTGAGCAAGATGGCTTTACTGTTCTCAGCTTGGCTAACTTTAGACAGGCTTCTCTCCGACTTTAGGCCCCCCTGAGCTCCCTTCTTCTAGAGTATTTGCTTTAGGAAAGATAATTACACATTCTTTCTCTGCCCCTTTGAGATGTAACTATTCTTAAATGCCTCTTGTGAGTTTTATAACCCAGGGAGGTCTTGCTCAAGAACCTGAAAATCATCTCTTTGACATGTGTCTGAGCAAGGGAGCACCACCAAAAGGAGTCACTCGCACACGTGTGTGTCTTTCCACAATGCCAGGTGTATTAGGAGAGGCCTCCCCAGGAAACCAGTAGAGTCACATGCACATTACATACAGAGAGGGGGAGCTTACGTGATGGAAGTGAGCAGAGCAAATGTTCAGTGCAATGCCCTGGCCACTGGCAGTGGCCTCAGGTCTCCGGAGAGGCTGGTGTCCATCTGAAGCCAGGCGGCTGCAGTGGCAGCTCGTGTCTGCTGGAGTGGAAGTCCAGCAGGGTTCCGGATGTGAGCTGTGGCACAGCAATCACCCACACTGGGTGGTCGGAGCTCTCAGTTATCATCGACCACTGAGGGTGGAGGTCCCACTCATATCGGTGTCCAGGTGAAGTCCTTACTCGAGTGTCCACACTTGCGGTATGGGCATTCTGACCCGCTTCCTAGGGCTTTCCTGTGACACCCCAGCTTTTTTTAAAAAAAATATATTGTTTATTGATTTCAGAGAGGGAGAGAGAGATAGAAACATCAATGATGAGAATCATTGATATACTGCCTCCTGCACGCCCCACACTGGGCAGTGAGCCTGCAACCCGGGCATGTGCCTGGCTGGGAATCACCCCACGACCTCCTGGTTTATAGACCTTGACGTTCAACCACTGAGCCATGCCGGCTGGGCTCTTCTTTTCATCATATAAGGATACCAGCCATATCGGAACAAGGGACCACAATACTTGAGTATGACCTTGAAATAGGAATTTTTGGTGGTGAAAAAGACAGGTTTAGGAAATTTTAGAAATTAAGGGGACCATGGAAGAAGCACAGGGCTGCAGAGCAGCAAAAGGTGTATCTCCATAGAATAGGGAAGCTGAAAAGCTTCAACAGATGTATCTCCATAGAACGAGGGAGCTGGAAACAGCAAAAGGTCTATATTTACAAAATAAAGAGAAGGAAGCCCTTCATCCAGAAGGAGAAGAAACCCCAAAGGGAGTAGGAAAACAATAAGGAAGGTGAGGAGGAAAAACCTCACTTGTCCCATGTGAGGTTCGACCTTTGAGCTCAGAAGTTACTATAATAACCAGTTCAAGGAAATAGTGACCAATCAGAGGGGATATCAAGGCACCAAGATCTATAGCAGTGATGACGAACCTTTTGAGCTCGGCGTGTCAGCATTTTGAAAAAGCCTATCTTAACTCTGGTGCCGTGTCACATATAGAAATTTTTTGAAATTTGCGCTGTTCATGCTCCAAGACTTTAGGTATTGAGACATGAATACTATCCATGTAATAAGCACTTGCCTGGAATAAAATATAAAATTGAAATAAACCTGCACTGAAACCTGAGACGGAGCTGCCAGCCTGCAGCATCTGGGTCCTTTTGTTGCCATAGGAGGCAGAGACCTCCAGCAAGAAGCAGCAGGTCCCTTCCCTGTTGGGGTGTGTGGGGGCCCACGTGGGAATCTGTTCTGTGGGGCTCTTCTTCCTCCCCACGTGGGAGTCTGTTCTGTGGGGCTCTTCCCCCTTCCCACATGGGAGTCCGTAATTGTTCTTCAGTAAATGTCCGCCTTTACTATACCACCTTCCATCCGTGGATTCATTCTTCGATTCCCAAGGAAAAAGAACTAGTCTGCCCAGGGGAACACTGTGTGTTCCAGTCCAAGAAATTCTGCTTCAACCTCATCTTAACTTACACAATGTCTCTTTTTTGGTGGGGGGAGGGGGGTGGGGTGGAGCACAGTGCGACCCACAACTGGCTCTGAAGAAATACCAATAGTATTTGAAATGAAAGACTTTTCCTGCATATCCTTTTGTTAAAAATATTGTATTATGTTGAAGATGTAAGTGGAAGCTTTTATAGAATGTAAATGGTGGCTGCAAATATATTGAGAAAGACATGTTTTATGAAGTTTGGTATTGAACATGAAACGTTATTTCTTTCTGGACAAAGTTTGCCTGGCAAATAATTGTGCAGGTATGAAGGAATCTGTCTGGGCGGCATGCTGAGGTTTGCTGAAGCTTCTTTGAGGGGGAATCAAGACATGTATCAAAGACAAAACTAGACAAAGTGATGAACTATATTGAGGCGATAAGGAGAGCATCCCGAGTGCCTCTGAAGGTTCGCTTTGTCTTAGAGAGACAAGGCTAAATAGGCTAGAGGTGGGGTGATTCATAGTTGCTTTGTTCTGTAATCAGAAGTCTCAGTCGGGTGGCTGAACAGGAAGTGTTTTTTCCTCTGTTGTTAGCGAGTTCAGGGGAACAAATAGATCCAACCTTTGATGATCCATTATAACAAAGAATGGGAAGTTGGAGGATCTATGATCTTATCAGCAGATTTGTCACAAGTAAACAGAGGGGTCAACCCTGAGAATTATGGGTGTCATGAGAGAGTGGACAGTGAGTTCGAAGTCTTATAGGGAAGGGTATTTCTTTGAGTAAGCCATTTCCTACAGCACAAAGAATGGGGGATTTCTGGAAACAAAAGGTTGGGGAGGTGTTCTTTATCATCGCTGCTCTCCAGAAGTGCAGGGCTCAGGTGCAGTTCAGCACCGTCAGTGGGCAAGTTGAAGAAGGATCTGTGTACAGCGGGTCGCATGCTGTCCTCCCCAACTAGTTACAGTTACTCTTTTTAGAAATGGTTTATTCATCTCTGAAACATGGATCCCACTGTTGTGGGACACCGCTGCCCCCAAGTGGTGGTACCTATATAGTGACTGCCAAATCTCAGACTGGAAAAGAAACTACATCCTTTTTCAGACTCCTGTAGGCTGTGTGTACCCTTGGAGTGTGCAAGAAAAGCCGCTAGGGTGCAGGAAGAAAAATATCATGATTCCTACTTCATTTTATTTTTATTGAAAAATGCAAGCAAGAATTTAAACTTTACTGATATTTATCATACTGCCAGTTTGCACTGGGTTCTTTACCCTGAATCTGCCACGCGTTAACTTCTCAGAGAAGAGTAGAAGCTTCACACAGTGGCAGAGTTCCTCTCTGGACCCCTTCAGAGTGAAGTAACATATTGCAGACCGTGGGTGGTTGGTTAAATGCAAATAATATAACCTAGTTTCAACTAAACCTACCTTTACACAGTGGACAGGAGGCATTAGAGGACTCCTACAGAGAAACTGCTGGTTTAGAAAATAACGCTAATAGGGCATGAACCAGCAAACAGGAAGCCATGTGTCACTGACAAGTATTTTTACAGTAGAAGTTTTTTATCAGCTACTTGACAAGAAAAAATAAAAACAAAAATCTAACTTATTTTACCAAAGTTGGTAAAAACATTCAAAATCATTAACACTGTTTTGCCGTGACCTTCATGGCGGGGTTCAGGATCTGAAGGAGGGGCTGACACACAAATGAAAATGCCATACAAGAAATAGAATTTAGAAGGCATTGAGGGCCAAATGGAGCCTCTTCCTTGAAGAGACACCCCGACTTCTGCCCTGGTCCGCTATTTATTTACTTGAATACACATTTGCCCTTTAGCAATGCATACAGGCATATCAAAGGTAAAGTTTGGTGAA